GAATGATTATGTTAAGCTAGCACTAAGTCCCTCCCCCATCCACCTTTATTCTTTTCTTTACAATAAGGCTTTCAAATAAATCATGGTTGTACGGCAGTGAAGCATCGGTGTTGAACGCCGATGTCAGCCTGTCGATGATGATGATGATGACGATGATGACAGTTGTTGACAGTTGTTGTGGCGATCTTTGGTCGAGGTGTAACGGGGTATGAAAACCACCGATGCTGAACAAATGACTTTATCTTACAGGCATGTAAATCAATGCATTGAACAAAGGCGTCCAACAGTTTGTGTGACAATTGCGTCGTGGATCCAAGTTCCAGCAGTTCTTCGGAGATGATAGTTTGCCCTGTCAACTTACAGATTCATAGTGCATGTATGTAAGCTTTGGAGTCAACCAGAAACGGGAAAAATTAAACAAACCGCCTATTCATAACAAAAGTATTCCAATCAGAAAGAAAAATTTCATACGTCGCGTGCATCTTTCATAGGAAAAGGCTTGATTTGACGGCCATTCAACGGGTTCAGATTATCTGAAATGCGCTCTGTATCTTTTCTAATTGTCGGTTGATCACAATTGGTCGTGGGTAGATGTTATGGAGTTAAGTAGTCAACCGAGAGTTCGTAGATCCAATTCTATGTAGATAGCATTGAGATGCCAACAGGGATGAGACAACCGTACACGGACTTCTTGGCTATCCAGCATAGATCAAGCTATAAAATCTGAGCGTAAACTTCAGAATCTCCTCGCTAACTAGCAACCATGCAATAGCTTTCACGATGATGTGGAAGCCACCTGAAATGGTCTGGAAAGGCATACTTGAAAATACTCGATGGCATTAGGTGGGCGACACAGTGTAGATTCTTTGACCCACTGCAAGTTCAGTCCTGAAATTGGGTCAGTAGGCTGTATAGGGTTGTACTTGAGAATAGACAACGGTTTTTGAAGTAACCTCGCCAAAGGACTAGTTTTCAGAGGACTGAACGGATATCTTGTTAGTTCAACATATACACTCGGTAGATGTATCAACCAGATCCATCCTCACCCGCCGTCTCTTTAAAATTCGGTAACCTTAGCACTCGAAACTCCTATGCTAACAAGGCGTCAACAATCTCTATCACGGACACAGCTCCCGTGATGTGACACTGCGTACAGGACTGATAAACCCCGTACCTGGTTCGTTTGTTTGGGTTCCTGCATCCCCATTTCATTACGCCATGTCTTGGACGAAAAAAAGCGTTGTCGTTAATCCCGCGACACCAGTTTAGATTGTTACTTCGAGGATGATCATTTCTCAGTAAAAAAAACCATCCTGGCTTCTGCTAAATTACCTATTTTCCGTTTTTAACTGAAGGATTGAAAATTGGGATCTTTTCCAAATAAGCCCCGCCACTAATGCAAAAAGGGCATGTGCGAAAAGTTTAGCCCCACCACTTTTGACAGCTCTAATTTAAAACAATTCCTTATCCACATCTAGGCTCATTTTGTGCAAAAATTTTCTCCGTTCGGACGTAAAGCCGCAAATGAACTTTCTGACGCTTTCAACTCTAATGCCCGACAGTGTCGGCAAGAAATCGGTCTTCGAAAGGGAACTTGGCTAGAGCGGTCTAGGATGGAGTTTAGGACAATAATTCTATTCGTTTATTGCTGGTCCAAAAATTAGGCAAAAATCAAATTCTGCTCAGAGGAATTATCTATTAGCCACACGGACGCTGTTGACTGGAAGAACTTTTTTCGCAAAGTTTGCGCCTGGTGGCTTTTGCAGACTCCAACGGTTATCGGCGGCCCAGATCTACACGTCGAGATCGACCTTAAAAACCACGCAAGGCGAATCCTTCCCCAGCAGTGGATTTTCGAAGGGATCTGCTGGGAAACTAAAGAGGTGTTTATGTATGCACTGCCAGATCGAACTGCGACCAGTTTGATGGACACCATCCAGGCCTGCATTGCTCCTGGCTAATTCATCACCCCCGATATGTGGTCATCATACCAAGGAATTGAAACGATGATTGACATGAATTATACTCATGAAACGGCTAATCATACCGAAAACTTTGTGGATCCAACGAATGGAGCTCACACATAAACTATCGAATCTCTTTGGCACGTCTACAGGATGTAGAATAAACGCCAATTCGGTACACACCAAGTTTTAGTGGACAGCTACTTGTGCGAGTTCGTTCGGAGGCAAAGGGGCCGAAAAACGGACCTTCTCATGCAAATTATTAATGGTATGTCCCAATTTCATCCTCTTCAACAAAAACTTAAGGTACAAATTTCATATCCTCTTTTTTCTAACCTTTTTTGGGTGGCGGGGGTTAATTTTTTGGCAGGGCTTATCTGAAAAAGATTCGAAAATTGTTGTAAACTGTTTTGAAACTAAAAAGTGTTGCTGACTAAGTTGGTCCCGTTTTGTTGCGACAGGATGTTCTGGAACTAGAAAACTCTGGGGATGCCCGCATAACTGACCAAGAAATCTAGATCAGAAGGGATTTCAACAACATGAACTTCACAAGAAGGGTTACGTCCTCGTTTTTGATAGAAATTTTGTTCTAACGAAAGATCCAGCTGAATATCTAGTGGATCTCTTGTTTATCAGGTAGGGTGAACTTAGAATAAACTCAGATGATAGGATATACTCTGTGAGTTCTTCTTGAGTTCACTATCCTTTAACAAGCTACTCATCAGATTCTCCTTTGGGGTTGCAGGGCCTAGTTTATAACAACCGATGAGCTTAGTCGCTACTTGCTAGTGTACAGCCGTATCGAACGAAGCAACGCGCAAACGCTTCAGCGATAAACAAATACACAACGTCACCAACTCCAGCGGTAGGGAATCCACCGATGGAAGCAAGCGTCTACCGCTTCGCTAAACTCTGACTAACGGTGCCTACAAGTACAGAACCAGTTTGAAAATTCTGAATCACATGAAACAAAAACTCACATAACCCAGAAGGTCCGCTGTTCTCAGTTTCAGTTCGTTCAGACGTTCTTCGATCCGCTTGACTGCTTGACCGGCCTCAGCGCGCTCGATTTCATAGCGTTTGAGACAGCATTGTAAGTGGTCCAGCTGACATTGAATGATAATAAAAGGCGACAATAAGGATCGTTAAGGATTTTGTATTAAAAAAAAAACAGACAAACACGATCATCCTCCTATTCACAAAAACCACCCTTAAGTTCTCGAGAAATACACTCATTTGCAAATCAATTTGGTCTTCACGAGAGACTCAACTGAATCTCTCGTTTATGATGTTCAGTTGATTCTCTCGTGAAAACCAAATTGATTTGCAAATGAGTGCATTTCTCGAGAACAGTCCGATTCGGGTTCAAGTAGATCATAAGGTTGGCGGAAGCTCGGGGACTGCGCCTACTTGATGAGTCCCAAGAAGGGCGAAACCAGTCGTGGTCTGTCGAAGAGTTTTCACCAACCTCGTGAGTAGCTTCCTTCATCCTTAAGTTGTCTTGAACGAGTAGAAGTGGAGGGACGGGGCTTCAAATGTTGTGAATCTTGACCTGAACAGCTGTTGGCATAGTCAGCAGATGTGATGACATGGCCAGACCTCAAATTATGTGTCCTGTCGGATTTCAGAAGTTACTTGAGCAGCCGACTAACCCGGGCCATCTAAGATTGGGCAATGCTCCAAGTGAGTCAGAAGACACGTAGGTAAGGACACGGGTGTACTGAGTACACGCGGCCAAACAGGTCAATCTTGTTTGGGTAAACAAACAACCGAGTGATATGTCCGGAGTTATATCTCCGATTTATCGATGGTTAGACACGCAGCGTGCCAACCAATGGGACACCCATCCAATCAGCCACTAGAGTCACACAGGTGGATTGACGAACGGACACGCAGCTGGGCACTCTCTCTGACACATCGGAGCGGCTACTGCAGTTTTCAAATGGAGTGTGTTTGACGGGGAACGCAACAGACACCACTGTAGACCACACTTTTTGGCCGCGTGTGCCGCATGAAGGCTTCTCCATGTGCCATTTAGGCCGGTGATCAAGATTTCAAGGCACTTTCCCAGGAGAAAGTCGCCGTCGATGGTATCTACGATCACGAGCCAATCACTCTCTCTCTCAGATCACTCACTTGACCTGACGAAGCTCTTGTGTGAAACGCGAGACATCCGCGAGCAGCCAATAAACCGTTTGCCTATCAAACTTACCAGGACTTAAAAAATACGTTTGGCGAAACACATTCGTTTGCAAATTAATTTGGTATCAGGGGAAACTCGAGTCAGTCAATCGCTTATAACTTTCCACAAATCTATTTGCGGCACAGAAACGGTCCTATATTTTAATTATTATGGTCATCGAGATATAAAAGTACGTTCCTTCTGGGGGCACACCAATCATAAGGCTACTGAGTTTGAAAGCTGAGATGATAAAGGAAAAGATACTTTCTTCAAATTACTCTGTTGTTCAGGATTGATCGGGGGATAGGTGAGTTTTCGAATCCCGACCAAAGGTCCTCGTGAACATTCCTACCAACGACCTGTTGGTGAGTTCCAGTGCGAGCGAATGGCCTGGTGTGGCTGAATTCTCGGGAAACGATGTATGCGAATTTCACCGGGAAGACGATGATGATTTTTTTGTTTGTTCTGTTCACATCATTATTCATCAGTTGCGTACAGAAAGGTAGTACAGAATCACCTAATCACTGTTCGAGATCGCCGTGCAACTGTAATAGACATCAGCATAGTCCCGAATGGACGTGGGGTGATAGTGTGGAATGAGAAGAAGCAGAAGTATGGTGCTGATGAA